GGAAGTTGTACCTCAACATGCTGACGAAAGTTGAATGCTGCATCATGGACGACGAAACATATGTGAAGGCCGACTTCAAACAGATCCCCGGCAACCTGTTTTTCACGGCCAAGGATGAGTTCAGCGTTCCGGAGCATGTCCGCACTCAGAAGATGTCCAAATTTGCGAAGAAATTCCTGGTTTGGCAAGCCATCTGCACGTGCGGGAAGCGGAGTGCACCTTTCGTGACCCAGGACACGATGAACGGACAGGTGTACATAAAAGAGTGCCTCCAGAAGCGGCTGCTTCCTCTCCTGAAGGCCCACAACGTCCCAACAATCTTCTGGTCGGATTTGGCATCATGCCACTACTCCAAGGACGTGCTGAAGTGGTATGCGGACAATAAGCTCAATTTCGTGCCGAAAATGTTCAACCCTCCCAACACTCCGGAGCTCCGCCCCATCGAGAAGTACTGGGCGATTATGAAGCAGCACCTTCTTAAACGACCTAAGGTAGTGAAGACAGTCGAGGAACTGAAGAAAGTATGGGTTTACATGCAAAAAACGGTTGATCCACATGTTGTGCAGAATCTTATGGCCGGGGTTAAGGCCAAGGTGTGGGCATTTGCGTATGGACTGTAAATAAAATACGATTAAAATGGTAAAATGAAGTTTAATAGTTATTTCTCAATCCCTGAAAATTTGATGGCAATCGGATGAAAACTCGAATTTTGCGAATCAATTTTGTGTGTGGCAATTTCATCGTGGAAACCCTTTATAAAGGGTGTCCCACATCAAATTGCACCACGAAAAAAATACGCTGTAGAAAATTACCCATTGGGTATTTTCTCTTGAAAATTTGGGTAGAAGTAGTTTAAAGTGTATTGTTTACACTGTATTTTTATCGCTGTCAGTTTCTCGAACGTTGGAAAAAATGGCGTCACCCGAGAAGCAACGTCGCGAATTTATTGTCCTCAAGCACCTGGAAAATCCTCAACTCTCTCATCGGGACATCGGAAAACAGCTCGGAATCGTGCAGTCAACGGTGTGTCGTGTGATTAAACGTTACTACGAAACTCTGAGCATCGAACAGAAGGAGAAATGCGGTCAGAATGGATGTTCCATTAGTGATCAGGATCACAAGCGTGTCGTGAACTTCCCTGGGCATCAAGTATGATTGTACTCACTCCACATTTGAGGATCACTAGTTGACTTACTCACTGGACTGAAAGATTCATAATTATTATTAACTGGCCCATAATTGTGCGATAACTGTAATACGGATGTCTATTGGATAAAACATCGTATGGATCAACGAGTTATTTCTTAATATATAAACCGAGCAATTTTGTTGAATTATAGTTTCATCGCAAATTTACACTTGGTCAAGTTAAAAAAAAATGAATACTTCCTTTTATACTGAATATTATAAAACCGGTAATTTCAAAATAAAAATTCACTGGCCACCGTGAGAAAGGAGTCTACGATTTTCTGCTAAGCAGGCAAAAATGGTTGCTACTAGGCCACCATGCTCCTTACACCACAACAAGCCATTACGAAAGACGTGAAGCTATTCAAATGGAATCTATTTGTTAAATTATGTGGTCGTGTTGAAAAACAAAAGAGGCTGCTCCTCTTTAAGGTGAAGAAGCCTGGGATTGAACTCACGATCTTCTGCCCAGTAAGCAGGACCGGTCGGCACTAGGCCAGCAACCTCTTCATGTCACCAGGGCATTGATAAATGCGGTCGATCCGATCGACTGTTTGCACTCTAAAAAGCATTAGAAATGCCATATGAACCGAAAAAACACGCAACAATGCATGAAAAAAGCTCGAAGAGTCCAAAACTGCCCCATCACTTCAAGCTCAAGATCACACATCCCGGACACTGCTGAGCAAATCCACGCCAAGCAGAGACAAAAATAAACGAATTTCAGATTTTACCTCTATGGGCATAATATTGAATCTATGCTGGAATTAGGCCATTTTTACTCGCGCCTTATTTTCCAAAATGGCGTATTTGCATGTACTCTTTTGATATTGTAGCTCTTAACAGTTTTGTTCATTTTTTGTCCATAATTTGTGAATTTTTTTCAGTGTGTATTTTCTTTATACTGAAAAGGCAATCCAGTTTCCTAAATCTTTGTATCAGCCGTCATATCGATTAGATGAGCCGTTTTCATGCTAGGATTTATTTAAAAAAAAAACGTCGAAGACGCCATTTTGCCCCTAGTGAACAATTATGCAAAGTTTCATTGAATTCGGAGATGGTAAAGTTGTGATCGATTCGTCACTTGGCGTTGATTTGCTCTGCTGTAACATCTTTCTTGAAATTGGAACTCCCTGTTTATGTGTTGTGACAACCGGTATGATTAATTTTTTTAACGCAATTAAATTCCTAAAAAGACCAATCAAAATAATTTTTTTTAGAATAACTTTAAAGCTTACAAACTCCGGGATCATTCATTAGTAGTCTCAATACAACCCTCCTTTCAAATGGTGAAGGTGTAGAGAATGCCGATTGTTTGATTAAATATTTCGAAATAATGAGTAAAATTGGATACTAAAGGAAGCTTGAACATTTGGCTAAATACAGGAATCAGTGTGCTGTTTGCTGTCGACAGCAGCAACTGTATTTTTCGCTGCACATCTTTTTCATTGCCGTTGCAAAGTATACAACTGGAGATGTCCGTTCAAATGGTCATGATGATCAAATTCAGCATCGCAAATGGAAGAGCGAAACCTACCATGTGTGAAATTGACAATTGAAAGTGCTGGATGCGGATTACGTACAGATGATAGCTACTTACCGGATTGCGGAGGAGAAAGCAATGTTCCTAAATTATAAGTTAGAATAATCGATGCTTAATGCTTTGCTGCATAATAAAGGTGTATGGGCGCACTGCACTTCCTCAATCGGAAGGGAAACAAATACATGTGTTTCTTATGTAAGATGAATGGGTCATCGGATGAATTCCTACCCAAAGCGAAAGGACCGTAATCAGCCAGTCAGTACAACAGCAACAGAAAGAAGAAAACCAACAACGGAACGATGAACACAGCAGTACGTGCATTGTCAAGGGACAACAATTATAAAGAAACATAGGAAGCGGTTGAGGTGCTGAAAGAAAAGCCAGTGAAGATAGACGTGACGTCCCCGGAGGTCGAGAAGAAGAACTGCGGAGAGCCGCCTGTTTTCAAGCATCGAAACGTCGCGTACTACTTCTACACATTTGGGATAGTCAAAAAGAAGCGGATTAAGGTCAAACAGGAGGCCAAGTGCGAGCGATGGAGCAGGGTAAACGTTTGGAAGTTCAAAGGAAATTGCATAGATGGCAGAAAGCAGAAGTAAAACTCAAGTCGTCTCCCAGGAATTTTGTTATTATTATGAAATAATTTACTGTTTATCGGCTCCGTGGATTCCTTTTGAACACTTGAGCCTTAATAAATAATCTGATTGGAAAACAATAATATAACACATCCAGGAATCAAGTTATACCATTGACAGACAGCCATAATGGTTTTATCGTTGTACTCTTTCCTCGATTGCGTGTCGATACAGTAAAAAAGCTCGCTTCTCGGGAATGGGACAGGCGTCCAGTTTCCCAACATCGACATGCAGCTCGCAGGCTCGGTAGGTTGAAGGTTAAGGAGTTCAAATCAAGCAATAATTGTTTTGTGTTGTTGTTAATTTATCAAGGCTCAATTTCCGTACCTTTTATTTTGTAATTAACATCGTGTCTTAAAGTTAAAGTTAGAAGATTACTCGTGGTTTACTCGAGGTTAAATTGGTAAACAGTATGGAAGATGGTCTAAGCAATGTATGAATCCTGATGAATGCAGGTGGCTTAGTGGAATACCTATATAAAGAAAGAAATAAGGATTAGTAATTTCCATTTAATTCCACACTACCTTATTTGCTTATCCTTGACAGATACGCGTATTTCGTCTACGATATGCAGACTTCTTCAGTGTAATACTCGACTGAATTAGTATGGCCATAAGTGTCCCCCTTCAATATGCTCCTCCTATCCCTATTTCATGTATCTAAAACTAGTGGGACAGCCTTAAAACAGATAGGCTTAGTAGGTTCGGCTTCGGCTTAAGTGCCGATGAACAGGCTTGCCTATCAGGGTGAGAGCTGAGCAATAACAATGATAAATGACAAAAATATTGTACGATTACAGTATCCCCAAACCAGAACTGACTGACCCATAATAGTGGGGTGACTGTAGGGCACATGACTGCTTGGGTAATACCTTTACCTACTATCGTCAGGGGGTAAAGTCCTTGTGCGTTCATTGCATGAGAATTAGATTGATGCAAAATTTGAATGCAGTGCTCAATCGGTTTCACATCGGGTCCTGATTAACTTACCAAAATTTAAGCTCATTTGGTTAGAAACTGACTTGGCACAAACCATTTGAAGTTTATATAGAGATTACTATGGAAAAAGCAAACTTTGGGTTCATTGCCTTCTAGCCTTTTTCCATATTGCACTGTCAAAAAGTTCTACAGATATTCTTATGGGAAATTTTCTCAGCTACAACTTTGCAGAAGATCGTTTTCGAGACAAACTTCAAATTAAATATTTATTAATTGTTTAAGAGATTGATGATCTTATGGCATGATCAAGCAGCAGTTTTGTGCCATGATTTTTGTGCTCTATTCTACGCTACAGAAACACCAATGTTGCCTGCTGAATAGTTCATTGAGCATAATCATAATAGGGGAAAAGTTTTCTTCGGTAATACCTTAACCTATTATCGTCAGGGGGGTATATTTAAATTTTGCATCAGTCTAATGAGGATACATCATGTTTGCCAAACATCCTTTGACCAAAATTGAGTGCTGAAGGGCATTGCAAGCCGCCTGATGCCATAATGTACCACATATAAACAATACATATTGTTAAATCGACAAAACGTTTGTTGAATCTACACTTGTTCGCTTCCATACTCTTAAAATTAATCGTGTCGATACACTTCTAATCCTATTATTTTTCCTGTCTCATTTTTACAGTGGCCACATCAGAGGACTCCCCCGTAGCAATGAAGCTGAAAAAGATGTGGCTGAAAACACCGGTCGGCGAGGAGCAAGCCGCCCAAGCAGTACTAGACCCTGCCCTAGGTAGGTTCCACCACCATAATCGCCATTCTTTCTGGTATCTTACATACACCGTTGATGCTGAAACAAAAGATGGGACAAAACCTGTTATTAGGAGCTAATCATGCTATTAGTCGCTTCTTTGAGCTTATTATCATGAGAATGCTCATGATCTTGTTGTGCTGCCTACTGGCTGTGCGGATGACGTTCGTTCGTCAGCCGTTAACCATCGCGTCGTCGTCGATCATCAGAGCAAGAGAAGTGGATTGAAAATTGCAACCAATGCAGTTTGATACTTACTGTTACACATACACAAATGTAGTGTGTAACTGCAGCGACCACTCTTTTTTTTTTGCTCTACCGTGTCTACTCTTCTTCGAGTTGGACTTTTCGATGTCTATAATTATATGTGCATTCGACTCCTCTATAAATTAGAACATCGCTGAGTCGTTGTTGGCTGGTTCGTTGTTTTGAAGAAAAACCGGGCTTTGGCAGGCAAATGAATGCGTCAAGGGCGTGTCGTGTTTCGTCTTGAAATTCATCATCATCTAGTCGACGAGAGTTAGTAACGAGAATCGTCGGAAGGTTCTTCTGCCCAAACTCGAGACGACGGTCAAGGTTCTTTTTGGTTGCTTTGGGGATTTTCTCCCGGCGTGGAAGTGGATCATCTTCATCGAGCCTATACGATGAAATCGCTGAGGAAGAGATGAAGTAGGAAGGACGAGGAAGAAAACAAGAAGCGACAACGTGGATTAAACCGGGTGGGTCATCGACTGTAGTTACTAAGAGAGCGAGCAAGAGAAGGCTACTTCAGACGGGACGACCATACCGATTTGCATATATCTTGGATATGCGGCGTTGCTATTGTGCTTGTTTCTGCAAATTTTCAGCGAACCGGTATTCTGAAATGATGGTTTATTTTGATACATTCAGCTGGATAGAAACTTTTTTAATCGTTTTTTTTTTAATTACCCACAAATCAGCTTTTGTGGAATAAAAATTGTCATATCCAGACCGTTTGTAGCACTTGGGTTGTGTGCTATCCACAAAAAATAGTACAATACCGGATATGGACAACAGGTATACACTTCCACCTTCGGGTTTCCTCTTTAAAAGCAGGGGAATGTAAAATGAAGAACCCTTAGCGAAAAAAAAAACTCGTTTATCATTCACCAGCAACCGCGCGCCAGCCTTCTACCCTAGCATTCAAACCTAGTCGAGAGCATGCACATCTGTCTTCCACTTGATGCTGCTGCTGCGAGCAGAACCGAATCGAGAGGGAAATTTTTAATTTAAAACTTACGAGTGCGCCTGGCTGCTCACTCGGATGGATAAATGTAAAATTTAAACAAAAAAAAAAAAAAAACAATAGAATGATAAAACCGAGCAAACGGGAACAGTGTAGATGTCAGCAAATACACTAACACATTCATACGGCCACGTGTTTGCCAGTAGTCGCCAACATCGAAAAGGTGTAACTCGTGTTTAAAGATAACGTTCGGTTGTGTATTTAAATTCGAGCAGCAGGATCAAACAGGATTCTGGCACAGCAGGAATTCAATTATGAGATACGACTGTTGACGGTTCAATTGAAACGTAAGGTTAAGGCAAGCTCAGAGAGCTTCAAGGTTCAACTCGATTTTCTGAGAATTCCTCTAAATTTGAGAGTGTGGGATATCTCTGGACATGTCTAGGCTTTAGTCCAAGGATCCAGACCTCGATTACAGTGTCTTTTTCATACTAGGTAGTCGAAAGATACACCAAATTAACGCCAGAAATCAAAAGTTGTCTAATATACCATTATGCAGGGCTGGTAGCAGGTCACTTTTTAGTGACTTGGTCACTATTTTGAAGCCAGTCACTAAAAAGTCACTTTTTATACCAAAAAGTCACTAATCTCATTATTTCTCTAAAAATAGTCACTAAAGTCCCTTTTTCACTACTAAAATAGAGTGAAATTTAAAAATATTAACAAAATGTTTAAGTTGAATACTTGGCACTAAGAAAGTCTACAGTAGTTTTTACAAAATATACATTTCAGTGAACCGTAAAACGTTAGAACACCAGGAAAACTATTGGGAAATGCCTTAAATTTCGATTAAAAATGATCGGGGAAAATATACCTCCTTTCCCAGAAAATAAATTGTAGACCTTGGAAACTTTACAAAGTTATTTGTCTGTGATAAATTTTCAAAAGTCTTTCAAGGATGATTAAGAACTTTAAAGAATTCAAAGTAAATTTTAAAGGATTCTAGGGATGACACCAAGATATATCAGAAAAGAATACCAAAGTACAGACTACGAAAGTCTCATGTAAAATTAAGTGCTCTGAGGACCGATTTCTTCATCTCCGCTTAAATCTTAAAAGGTTTACCTATATATCGTCGCTTTTGGTTATTGTTTACATTATTAGAGACGCAAAATTCAGCTCCGAACAATGTTGGAAATAATTCCAATTCAATTGAGAGTGCATTTTAACGAGAGTTATGAGAAGAATTCTATGATGATTGGATGAAGATTCTAGGACCAATTCTAATATGAATTCAAAATTAGTTCTGAAATTTTGCTTAAAAGAGCTCTGCTGAAAATTCAATGAAAATCCCGTGAACCTCAAAGATGGTCTCTGCGGATAGTTCTAAAAGAATTCTGGGGTGATTTCTGAAGATATTTCCAAGAGAATTCTAAAGAGTTCAAACTAAATTCCGAGAAGAATTACAATGGAATCGAATTTTGAGGGTTCAATCTCAAAGGAATTCTGAGAAGAGTTTCAAAGTTACTCTGTGATGGATTTTTGTTGTGAGAATTCTGAGGAAATACTATGAGAATTCTAAGGAGAATACGAATTGAATTTCCAATTGAATGCAGGGGAGAAGTCCAAGATTATGCTAAGCAGAAATTTATTAAATTTCTGAGGTTAATTGCATGGAAATTCTAAGGAGAATTCAAATAAATTTAAAATGGCTTTATGGAAGGAGCCTTCGGGGAGTTCCTAGAAGAATCAATAAAAAATCGAAAATAATCTACTTAAACTAATAACGTGTTATTACTTCATGCGTGACTTAACGATTTACATAGTCGGAGATGCTTAACGTCAAATAACAGACTTAAAGTGATAGATGATAGACGATGAGATTCAATTATAGAGTTGATAGTTACGTTATAGTACGTTAGTGTAAAAATTGTATACACAAAGTAAAAAACGAGCAAAGGACAATTTTGAGGAAGGTACGAATCGGGTAGTTGTTTACGTCAGATGGCGACTTGAGTGTGAAACAGTCGATAGAACTATTTACGCACATCGGAGGTACATGAGAAAATCGGCGATCATCCCTTTGCCAGTGGTGGCAGGGGGAAACACCTCTCACCAACCCTCATTAACGGATGGGCTTGGTAAAGGAGATGCTCTACCCTATTCGTAGCTTCCTCAAAATTGTTCGCTTTCTACTTTCTATATACAAATTTCACACTGCCGTACTATAACGGAACTATCAACGTTCTACTTTCATCTCCTAATCTATCGTATAAAATGTCTTTAATTCTGATATTTGATTTGGTTGGAAATGCTAACATGAAGCTTTAGTGTGATAATTTATTAGCTAGAGAATGATCTTTAGAAGAGAGTAGGTGGATACTTCCGTTAGAGTACGGCAGTATGAAAATTGAATAGAAATTGAAAATGAACAAAGGGCCATTAATGCGACAGTTTTTAAAGTTAGACGCACATCTTTTGCCTAACCCGTACGATGTACGCGGGACTTGAAGTATGTCTCCAAGTCTACAGGCAAAAAATGTGCGTCCTTCTTTTGCTCATAAACTAACTGCGGCTGTGGAATAGTTCTAGCGACGTTTTCATCACTACCTAAAGCCCCACGTTGCGAGAGCATTTCCAGTCGATGGTGTATTATAATGCAATTCTTCTTTACCCAACTATTGTGTTGCTCCTCTCGTCATGACCAACGTGATCATCTCAGAGAGAAAGCAGTAGGGTGGTTGTTGCGTGCTGTACCATCATCAGCATTGTTGACGGCTACTCAGTTAGCGATAGGTAGTGATGAAAACGTCGCTAGAACTATTCCACAGCCGCAGTCAGTTTATGAGCAAAAGAAGGACGCACATTTTTTGCCTGTAGACTTGGAGACATACTTCAAGTCTCCGCGTACATCGTACGGGTTAGGCAAAAGATGTGCGTCTAACTTTAAAAACTGTCGCATTAATGGCCCTTCGCTCATTTTCAACATCTATTCAATTTTCATACTGCCGTACTCTAACTGAACTATCCACCTACTCTCTTCTAAAGATCATTCTCTAGCTAATAAATTATCACACTAAAGCTTCATGTTAGCATTTCCAACCAACTCTGAAAATCGCTAACTTCGCTAAAAAACACTTTGAATGATATTTGATGCTAAACAATTCCAACTACGAAAATAATCTATTCCCAAGATATTTGTTGATTGTTCTATAAAGAATTTCAAGAATGCAATATTACAGGGCTGGTAGTGAGTCACTTTTTAGTGACCAAGTACTTTTTTCAAGCCAGTCACTAAAAAGTCTCTTTTTTTTAAGATCAACTAAGACTTTTTCTTCTAATACGTCACTATTTTCAAATTGTTTAGCGTGAATTTATTCAACACACTAAGATTATTTCACCGAAATCTGTGAAATGTTTGCCAAAGATTTTCAGGGAAATTTATCTTCAATAGAATTGAGAGCTTTAGGAAAGCTTCATGAACATCAAGATCAGAGAATCAAAAGGCAGTTCAGATAATTTCAAGAAAATTGTAGAAACCTTAAACAAGTTCCGGAAACTTCAGCAAAGCTCCGATAGAGCTTCTGGAACGTGATAAAAATTATATGAACATCCGGAAAACGTGAGAGTTTATTAAGGGTGTTATATCATGGATATTTTAAGAACATTAAAAAATGGGAAAATTTAGCTAAGTTGATTAGATAATATCAACGAAGTTCCATCAATTAAAAAAAAAAAATGCGAGAACTTTTAGCAAGCAGCGATAATTATCTTC